TATATATATATATATATATATATATTATAATAGTAGTCCTTATTGCATTAATATGACAACCACTTTGGCTAAAACTATTGCTTTGAACTTTATCACATTTGCCACTATATTATTGCATTTCTACAGTAGTGAAACATGAGAGTTTTAAATTTCTTTTTCTTTCTACCATATGCCACTACATCATATCACTCCTAACAATAATGACATGGCTTCCACTCATGATAAGGAACCCTATGGGTGTTTGCCTAAAACTATTGCTTTGAACTTTATCACATTTGCCACTATATTATTGCATTTCTACAGTAGTGAAACATGAGAGTTTTAAATTTCTTTTTCTTTCTACCATATGCCACTACATCATATCACTCCTAACAATAATGACATGGCTTCCACTCATGATAAGGAACCCTATGGGTGTTTAAACCTCATGGAGTTCATAAAAAGAGCATCCTATTTCAAATGAATTCCTAGTCGGTCAATGGAAGTCGAAGGGACAATAGTCAGGAAGCGACGGCTAGGTGGAAATCTGACGGTGATAGGCGACCGGGCGGTGCAAGCTTGAGAAAGCAAAAGATATCATTCATTTTTATATCTTCCTCCTCTCTCTCATTTGTGAAGAATGAGCGGTCTATTTATTATTTTTTTAGAAATAGCATGACTAGTGAATAGGGAGAAGATCAATGACATGTTAGGAGTGTTTTAATGGACGGCCGATATCAACTCCCATGGTCATGGATATTTTATCGAGCATTTGAGTATCTTAATGATGCCAGAATTCGATGATATTGGACTCATTGGATTCATTTTATCGAGCCGCTCGATTCAACTATAAGCATGCCACATTTGAATATCATTTGATAATTCGATCATGTTTTGAAGCTTTCAAATAATCTTCAGCCCCTTGATTTTGACTCGTTTCAATTCCAAACACTTTCGTATAATTGCTATATCTAGAGGATGTGGCATCCCTCTAATGCACGAGGTACTTCAGTCCACTATATATTTTATTTTGGTATTAAAATAGATGTGATGTCAGTAAGTATATCATGTCGATATTATTTTTCCTATTGTACTTGCACATACAAATCTTCAAGGTCTTTAATTTATAATCTTTCATAATTATATTTTAATATTTGAATTAAAATATCAAATGAACTCACGTAGGCTTAGGGTGGTTGGTGGGCGAGCAGGTTGGGAACCCTCCATCCCGGGTTCGATTCCCCCCTACTATGACCTCACCTTTTCAGTGGGGTAAAGCATGTGTGGACCCGATGCTTGTGGGTGGCCTCGCTAGATTCCGCCGATATATTAATCACGCCAAATATTCCCTTTGAAGTGGCAACGAAAATATACTCCATAAAAAGATCAAATGAGAGTTAAAAGATGTTGAAGGTATCACATCATTCTCCTAAGAAACAATAATATAAATTCTCAAATAAAAAATTAAGAAAGAAATCAAACATTTATTCTTTCAACAATAGACCTCTTAATACGCCAAAATTTAATTCCCATCCAAATATGAAATATCCGTATCTCTCATGAGCCCAATGGGAAGATATAAATGGAAATATAAAAAATAAAATAAAGAGATACAGACAACTAAAGAGTCACATGAAAGTGAGGATTTGATATCCTAATCCTGCTCCCATGGTAACATAAATTTAGAAACCAATCTTCTCTTCTCTCTCACTCTCACCACCCAAATTCCTCACGCTAATCTCTTCTCCCAAAGTTTTCCTTAATTAATCCACCTTTCATTCCCGGAAGCGGCATTGTGGGCAAATGTCCTCCAGTCCCACATCCTAACCGTCCCAGAAACAGTATCTGCTTGATAGAGACGTCAATCCGACAGCAGGAAAAATGACACCTGCAGGCTCACAAGAGAAGGTTAACAGTGAAGGAAGAGAGGAAGAGGAAAGAAAACCATGGGGCGACAAAAGGGTTAGCTTCCAGCCACATAAAGGCGAGAGCTTGATGATGGAAAGAGAGAGAGAAAAAGGGAAAGCAGCAAGCGATGATGATGAAAGCCTAGCTAGAGAGGAGGAGACGCTGTTGAGTAGAAAGCTAAGGAGAGGACTTGCAGTAGGGAAAAAGGGCAGACCTTGCACCCCTTCCCCTGCCTGGAAACTGGAGGAAGACGAAAGTGAGGAGTTGGAAGCCGACTCCGGCGTTGGGGAAAAGCGTCCATCGGCGGCGAGGCAGAAGAAATCTGTTTCGGCGAGGAAGCTTGGCGCGAATCTCTGGGAGGTGCAGGATTTGTTGCCCGTGGTCGGTATGAGTCGAAAGAGCGGCCGACATCACCGCCGAGGGGATGTAGGAAGGGATCCTGATGATTTCATGCCTCTTTGTTCTGCTGATCTTGTGAGTTGTTTGATTATATTTTGATTTTTTTGTGCTTAGGGTGTGTATTTGACTTTTTTCTTTGATGGTTCTATGGGCTTTTGCTGGTTTGGATGATTGTAGAACTGAGAGTAAGTTGGGATCTGCATGTTGGTTTTTTGTGCTGCTGCCATTGCTTCTCTTGAGATTTGGCATAAATTTTAATATGGATCCTGCTTAATAGGATCCTGTCTAAAACTGGTTGGGATCATTGGAGCTATTGCTAGGAATCATTTAAGGAAATTTCTCAGTTCAGTGTAATTTGATTTGTTTTTGTAAATTAAATGAATATTGGATGCTGTGAATCCTAAGTGATTTTTTATTGAAATGTCTCAAGTAGGATTTAATCTCAAACAAGTATTTCTCCTTTTTTTTTTCTCTGCATTCATCGTGGACATGTAGTGAAGAAATGGTTCAGTCCCCTTTCGGTGAAGACGGTCTTCATGAAGATTCTGAAGATTTCCTAGTCTAATATTAAAGGTAGGACATGAAGGAAAACTTACGAGGCAGTGGGCTGTTTGGCATCTTATTTTAGGCATGATTTAAACAAGATTTAGGCTTCGTTTGGGGCGGCTTCTTAGTACTTCTTAAAGTAACTTTTTTAATAAAAAATTGTTTTAAGAAGCAATGAGTAATCTGCCCCCCAAACGAAACCTTAGTTAAATCCCACCATATACAATATTTAACGAATTTATGAATTTCTCCACTCGCTAATCTTAAATCTTGAAAAAACATAATTTATGAGGATTTATGAAGATTTAAGAATTGTTATGCAAGTAATTTTCAGGTTGAATTCTCTCTAGATTTACTAAATCCTAGTTGAGGCAAATCCTTCTTGTAGCCAAACAGTCTCATAGTGTTAAATCTTTCTATCATAGGCAATCAAGTTGGAAATAACAGCGAAAAATCCATCTTTTTTTCATCCAACTGAAAGTTTTGAATTTTAATATGCTCATGACTAGTAGATTCTCAGTCTATGTTATGGTGTGCCTTGAATAATGAGAGCTGCTCAGCCTACAAAGAACACTAAAACATGACATTATCCTCATAGTATGTTCATCCTGATATTTTAGATTGGAGAAGAGTTATGACATGACCTGTCACTTTTTCACTATTTTATTTGCTAAAATGATAAAACTTCATGAACACCACATATCTGTCTTTTCTACTAGCAATAATTCTCTGATATCTCTGTGGCAGCCTCAGAGTGCTGGTAGTTTAAGGAGGCATGTTGTTGCTTCATTAATCCAACACCGCAAGTCGAACGAAGGGAAGAACCATGCTCTGCAGCCTGTATCTCCTGCAACCTATAGTAGCTCTATGGAGGTATACAGAGCTTTCTTTGTACTAGTTTTTGTTTCAGCAATGATATCTTACTTTATTTGTATTGCGAACTTATTAGAAATATCAAAATTTTTGTTCACCTTAAAATGGATTGATTGATCTTTCTGTGAAGAATCTTGACATTGTAGAACATTGTAGTGTTGTCCTCAGATCATGTTAGTGAATTTCAGGTTACGCCTTTTAAGCCATCGACTAGTCCTGGCTGCCAACTGGATCTGAAAGGTAGGATTGGAGATGCAGGTTATAGCCTTAAAACATCGACCGAATTATTGAAGGTTTTGAATCGTATTTGGAGCTTGGAAGAACAGCATGCATCTAATGTATCTGTAGTTAAAGCATTGAAAGTGGAGTTGGAACACGCAAGGGCGCACATTCAGGAGCTGAAGCAAGAGGAAAAGGACCGTCATCGGGAAATGGATGATTTGATGAATCAAATTGCAGAAGATAAAGTAGTTAGGAAGAACAAGGAGCAAGATAGGAGGAGGGCCGCAGTTCAGTCCATAAGAGAAGAACTAGATGATGAGAGGAGGTTAAGAAGACGGTCGGAGAATTTGCATCGTAAATTGGGCAAGGAGTTATCTGAAACAAAAACTGCATTATCGAAGGCTCATAAAGATCTGGAAAATGAAAGGAAATCAAATGGTTTGTTAGAGGATCTTTGTGATGAGTTTGCAAGGGGAATTGGGCAATATGAGAAAGAAATAAGAGAGTTAAATAAGAAGTATACAAAGGATTGCGACCGGAAGGTTGATGGTTTACTGCTTTATATATCTGAAGTATGGTTGGATGAGAGATTGCAGATGCAAATGGATGAATCTTGCAGCGAGCAGGCTAAAAATTGTAGATTGGAAGAGGAAATTGTTTCATTTCTTCAAGCTAGACGAGCCAACAGCATTAAGGAGGACAGTGAACAACAACATCATAATTTGCATCGTCAATCCCTTGAGTCCCTCCATTTGAATGGGACCATTAGTGCGCCTCGTGATATTGAAGATGATGATTCCATAGCTAGTGACCTCCATTGCTTTGAGCTTAACATGGATAAAACTAAAGAAGGAGCTCATGATCAATTAAGATCACATTGTGCAATTAATTCCAGCAACTTAGAATCTGCAAGGAAATCTTTTTCTGGTAGAAAAGCAGTAGGATATCATAGAAGTATCAAAGCTAAGAGTTTATCCATGTCACAAGAAGGACTAGAAAGGCAACTTGAAGGCATGGATTTGGGCTCAGATGTTGATTCTGGAATTGCTGAAGCAGATAAGGGTGAAGCTACTACTTCAGCTGGTGACCATGAAGCAAATATGGATGCCATGGATGGCTCAAACCTTTTGACTCATTACATGGTCAAGAACCATTTGGATAATTCTAGTGGTTGCAAGGTTCATCATGTGAACTATCAAGGTGAAATAAGCCATAACAAACTCTCAGGAAGAGGGCAGTTTCTTCCAAAGTTTGGGCACAATATCACAGGAAATTCAATCCTTGCGTCCAGTCCTGTGCAACAGTGGAATCACAGAAGAGTTTCTAAGGATCTTCAAATCTCAGAATGCTCATCAAAACTACCACACGGACTGAAAGAAAACACTTTGAAGGCAAAACTTCTTGAGGCAAGGTTGGAAGGAAGACATGCTCGTTTGAAAGCTTTGAAAGGTACATGATTTGCAGAATCAGGCAATGAAATAATACGGTATTATAAAGTTGTTGCCAGTTCTACCAGCTTGTTCCAAGATATTGTATAACTAATGGGAAAAAAAGTTTGACCTCAAGATATTCTGAATTGGTTTTTGATGAGAACATAACCATTGTCTTTTGCTTTGATATGCAACAGTTCTTGCAAAGCAAAAAAAAAAACTGAGCTTTCACATCAAGAATTGACTCTTGATGTTCTGAGCAAATTTTTTTCCCATCAGAACATGAGATGAGTGTATCCTGAACCTTTGCTTTCTCATGAAATCCGTGCAATCAATCGCCTGGCAATTTTGAAGATTACTTTGTATATTGGGGCTTTAAGATTTGTGCAATACTTTCAGTGTCTTTCTTAAGTGAAATTATTATGTGCGGTCATCGGAAGTCGCCCAGAGGCGAATCAGAACGTGCCACGTCACTTTTTTTGTTGTGTATCGGTACTATGTACTGATGTGTACCGGGTGACATAGCATGTCCTAATTCATCTCTGGACAGTCCGCTGTCCGCACCTAGTAATATCTCCTTTCTTTATTATCTTTTCAACAAGCAAGGCGCCTTTGCTTCCTAAATATATAAATATTCTTTTTATTATAATATATGCAATTAAATTGATGCTGTGAATTGAAAAAAAAAACTATTTGAAAATATTATTTGATATCATTAAATGACTAAAGTTAATAATAATAATAAACTTGTACTGCTGGCCATAATCATGGGCCTGCAAGTGATTTACAGATATCCGAAATCTATTTTTCAAAAGCCATTGCTTCTCCTGTGGTCCATTGTGATCTGTTGGGTTTTAATTTGAGAAAATTTCTTCTTGAAAAATTCCTTATTTATTTGATAAGAGGTTACAGGCTGGAAAAATAAGTCTCTCTCTTAGGGTGGTTGGCTTCAAATGAATAGATCTTCTATCAATAATTATCCATCATATTTGTTTAAGGCTTCCTTTGAGTCATTTTCTTATTGTTTCTTAAAATATCTTTCTAGCATAAAATTTATTGCTTCTTAAAATAGTTTTTTATACTAAAAAATTATTTTAAGAAGCAGGAAGAAAATTCTTTCAAACGAAGCCTAAATCTACTGCTGCTATCCCAAAGTGCATTTGTAAAAAAAATCATTTTTTTTATTTCTCGTTTCTCTTATGATGGTGGTATAGGAAAATTCATTTTTATTTATTGAAAGGAGGCAGTTGTCTTTTCTATCTTCCCTTAATCTTATCTGTAAGAATAAAGTGTGATTTGGAGAGCTCTAACTTGCTCTACCCCCTTATACAAGTGGTGCCTTGTTGCTCATGATTCGTTTTTGAAGATTTTTTACATTTTGTATAGAATTGCAACACATAGACACAAAACAATGCACTAGCTATCCTATGAAATTAGTTCAGTCTGAAAATTGCTGTTAATATTGTTGGATGGCTATTTGCAAACTCTTGAAGTTGCCCTGGAAAACAACTAGCATCTTTTTTGTGGGGAATTTGTCTCGAAATTATTGTGTGGAAACTGGACGCAGAACGTTGTTCAGAGATCAATCAAAATGCGTCACGTCAGCAGTACCAAGCAGTAACGAGCCGCGGTACCGTGCATAGGGGTGATGTGGCGGATTCTGATTAGTCTCCGAACAACATTTGACGTCCACACAGAATAATTGATCCTATTCGAGACCACCTTATATCAAGTTTTACAGGCTTCCTCCTTAATTAGTATGAAAATTTGTTAGTCCGGTTCTTTGTGGACCGGTCCAGAACCAGCACCCGCTAGTTTATAGGAGGCGAAGACTTCCGCCTCCTTTGCTTGGCTTGCCTACTAGGGCAAGCCCCAGTATTCCAATGGATTGAAAATTCAAACGGAGTGGGGAAATTAGGATTTGGGAGGGAAATTAAAATAGGAAATATCTTGTATTAAAGGGGATGAGGGAATTAGGGAGTTTGTATGTTTTGATTGATTGAGAATTAGGGTTTCTTGGCGTTTGGGCTCTAGACTCTCTTGTCTAGAGATTTGGGAGAGATGATCATCCTCTCGAATTGAGGATCACTTGTATCTTGCTTTCGTATTATTTTTGATTTGCTTCCCTTATTTCAATCTATCGTTTTGGGGCTGATTTCGCCCTGATTTTGCTTATTTCTCGCTGTTTTTCTCCAATTAGTGATAGGTTTGCTTGCGAACTCAAGTATTTCCTATCAAAATTGTGAAAAAATTGTTATCTCCTTATATCCTCTTTGTTGGCCTATTAGATTCGATGAAAAAGAACTGGTAAACTCTTCAATCTCTGGCAGATTCGATGAATAAACCATGGAAATTATGAGGATACATCAGTTCAAGAAAAAAAAAAGTGTAAATACAGTTGGCAAACAAATCATTATCATATGCCTATCTTACAGAATTGTTGTGGCTATATCTAGAACAGACAAAAATCATATAAGAATTCCTCATAGAAATTCCTGTAAGCAGAATCGTTCATGATCACCCATTTGACATTGAGATGCGTATTTCCAAGCACAAGCCTTTCTATAAATGGTATAGACTTGCAAATACACATGTAAATCTGAAAATATATAATAAAGACTTACAAATTCCTGGTAATATTTCTATCCCTGCAAAACTGTTGGCAATTATGATCTTCATCAATAAACGGGCACTCAAGTCTTTCTTACAACTTCATGAGCACATTCTCAACAGCTGCAATCTGCACTGTAAACTTCCAGAAACTTTAGTTTGAATTCACATACAGCTTCTTAAGTCTTCTTGTGCTTGATAGATTGGGAAACTGGCATATCTTTGTGCTAACTACATATTTGTATTTGCAGTGTGGGACCAATACTCATTGACAAGCTCCCGGAATAGAGATCCTTCTGTGTTCATGAGTTTCAATGGTTCATCATACTCTATCAATTTACCTGAAAGACAAATCACATAATTAATCACTAGGGAAAGATTAGCCTCTTATCCCAAGAATAACTATTACATGTTTACCAAATGATAATGTCAATTTTTCAAAATTTCTAGAGCTTCTCACAAAGTCAGGAAAGTGTAGCATGTGTTGCATAATGGAAAAGTCCCTCTAATTAGTTGCATAAATCCTTACTTCAATCAATGAAGTTATATTGTAGTTTGGTGTTAGAATGTTTATCTTAGCAAAGACCAAAGATTCAAATCATGTCATTAACAGAATGTGATTAAGCGATCTATAAAAGAAATGCACAGATCAGAAATAAAGTAAATTACCATCACCAACGACAAGAACCATAGCACAATCCATTACAGTTGGAATTCTATGGGCAACAGTAATGACTGTGGAGTCTGCAAATTCTGTTCGTATAGTCTTTTGGAGGATGGCATCAGTGGCATTGTCAATTGATGCTGTGGCTTCATCAAGCACCAGTATGCGGCTTTTCTTTAACAGAGCCCTGCCCAAGCAAAATAACTGTCGCTGTCCCATGCTCCAGTTTGATCCATCTTCAACCACTGAAATGTAAAGATTCATTTAAAAAAAAAAATGCAATGTAAGGTTTTTTTTTTTTTTTTTTGTGACGAGGAACCCCTCCGCTTTGCGGCGAATAAATCCCGGTTGACCTAGCAGACAACCCACACCATTTATCCGGGCCAACACTTAAGGTTGTCATGGCCGCCCAAGGGATTCGAGCCCGGGGCCTGGGCTTTGCCCAGACGAGCTCCCCCCACTTGAGCTAAGCCGCGGTGGGTATGTAAGGAATTTATGTTTTGACAATTTCATGACGGTATGGGCTTGGTAGATGTGGAAATTCTTACCTAGTGAATCTAGGCCGCTTCCTTTCTCCTGGACAGCTTCTCGAAGTTGACATTTCTCAAGAACCTGTGACAGCACAAAATTAAACTGTCAAAGGGAATGAACATGATGCACACAGCATGGAGCATAACAGTAATGGTAGGGCTTATTTGGTTTCTTGCAGATAAAATGGTGATTTCATTTACTAGCCATGAGTGAAAATAAAATCATTACATTTGAGAGAATTTTGAGATAATTCATGAAGTTTGAAATCAAGTTTGATTTCTAACTATATCCATCTAAATAATGTTTTCAATAGATTTCATTGTTTCTCAGAAATAACCAATTCTAACCATCATGGCCAATCCCCCGATAGCACCATTCCTATCAATACCAACATACCCAACCAGCCCCACAAAGACCCTTAGCCTCTGCATGCCGACCTCCCCAATCTCTCTAATCAGTCCAATTCAAACAACATAGGTAATCTACCACCGCTAGCATCCAACCCACCCATACGACACCCTATGACCACTAGATCTGAAACCGGCTCACTCAAACCAAACAAATCCTAAATTTTCTTCACCACGCATCTACCTCTAATGATCCAACTTCCTTCTCAGCAGCCTTTAAACACCCACATTGGCATCAAGCCATGGACGAAGAATTTCTTGCATTACAACGGTAAGGTATGTGGCAACTAGTTCCCCCTCCTCCTACTAATCACATGCACGCCACAAAGCGAGACTAGTCGCTCAAGGTCATCATCAAGAACATGGCATCGACTACTTTGAAACTTTTAGCCCCGTCGGCAAAGTTCCCTCCATTCGCATTCTGTACTATCGCCCTAACCAACAATGGGCCAATTTAACAACTAGATGCTGCCAACTCATTCCTCCATGGCTCTCTCAATGAAACCGTTTACATGCATCAACCACAAGGCTTCCGTGACACAATTTCCAAATCATATATGTCGTCTCCACAAACCCATCTATGGTCTCAAGTGATTCCCCCATCAACGGTTTAACACCTTCTCCAGATACCTTCTCACGTTGGGATTTCATCAAAGCCAAGCTGGTCCGTCACTACTAATCTTCAACCAACACCCCATGACCATCTATTTCCTCATATATGTCGACGATATCCTCCTCACCAGCAATGACTCCACAATAATACCTCCACTTCTTCATAAACTCAGCTCTAAATTCCAAATTAAAAATCTAGGTTCACCATCCAACTTTCTTGGCATCCAAATTACCATCCACTCTAATCAACTTTTTCTATCTCAATCTCTATATGCTTCTTCCATTCTCACGAAGGCAGGCATGTCACAATGCAAGCCACTTTCCACACCATCTCCCACAAAATCGAATTCACAATCAACTTAAATCATATCTCCATTTGACAATTCACTCTATCGACATCTAATCGGCACCCTCCAGTACCTCACGATAACTCATCATGACATTGCGTTCTCAGTGAACCAACTTAGCCAATATATGCATCAACCCTTACATCAACGCTCTCAAATGCTTAAACGACTTCTCCGTTACATCAAAGGGACATCTACATTAGGGCAATCAAAATTGGGTCACAGGTCAGGTTAGGGTTCAACCCGAAACTGGCCCGACACAAATTTACCCGACCCAAACCTAATTAGGGGGGTCAATTCGGGTCGGCAGGTCGGTTTCAGGTCAAACCCGAATTGACCCGGATTTTAACGGGTCAACCCGAACCCGACCCGTTTTTGTAAACAGGTCGGCTTTTTCAACCCAGACCCAACCTGTGCAGGTTGTCGGGTTGACACGACCCAACCCGACCTGGATTTTTGAAATACTCCCGACGGCACAGCGGCAGCACGCGTTGCAGGCGGAGCAGCGGCAGCACGTGTCGCCGCTTCGGGTTCGGGACGCACTGCGAAGTCGGGATGCACGCGCACGACGCACGACTCGACGCTTCACCACTTCGGCCTTCGGGATGTGACTCGAGGTTTCGGAGTTCAGTCGGCACCGCAACACTCGATGCTTCGGACGGCACCGCGCAGACATCACGCGAACTCGGGTTCGACCGGGCAGGGTGGGCAGCAGACGCAGGCAGAGGGTTTTCGGGTCATTTTTGGGTTGCTGAGTCAACCCGAATCAGACCCGTTTTTTGAAATGGGTCAGTTTGTTGAACTCGAACCCGACCTGTTTCACAAATGGGTCAACCCGAATCTGGATTTTTCCTGGTCGGGTTTCGGGTCGTGTCAAAAATTGACACCGCTAAACCCAATCGGTTTATTAAAATGGGTCACTTTCTCGGACCCAAACCCGATCCTCTTAAGGTCGGGGTCAGCCCAAGCCCGACTCGCTTCGGAAGTCAATCGGACGCCAATCGACATCAATTGGATGTCAATCGGTCAACCCGCTTCGGAAGTGACGTCAATTGGTCATGTCCACGACCGAAAGACGACAATTAACGGGACGCGGCGTGACGTTTGCACACGTCTTTAGTCTTCACCACGCAAGCCGCCAATCGGTGGGACGCGACGGGAAGTCGGCGTAAGTTTTTAGTCTTCACCACCAAAAGATAATCTCTCTGGTCTTTCTTCTGTCCTACTATTTTTGGGTCAAAAATGGGTTTTCGAGTTGACCCGAACCCGACTCGGAATTTGAAACGGGTAAAAAATCTGGACCTGAACCCTACCCATTTTTAAAACGGGTTGAACCTAACCCGAAAAGTTCGGGTCGGGTTCGAGTCGGGTTTTCGGGTCGTGTCAATTTTTGATACACCTAATCTACATTTGGCTTAATCATTCAGCCGGGTCCTTTGCATCTCACCACCTATTGTGATGTTGACTGGGCTACAAATCCCCTCACCAGACACTCAACAACCAAAATATGCTCATTCCTAGGCCCCACTCTTATTTCATGGCAGGTAAAGAAGCAAATGACGATTGCTAGATCGACTACAGAAGTCAAATACAGGACTCTTGCAACCGTGACAGCCAATGTTATATGGATCTGTCGTCTTCTCCATGACTTCAATATACCAGTTTCTCAACCAACGTATATCTACTGTGATAACATCTCTGTCATCACACTTGCCAACAACTCAATGTTTCTTGCTTGAACAAAACACATTGAGATAGATCACCATTTCATTAACTACCATATCAATTCTCTTACCATCAGAGTACTACCGATTAGCTCCCAAGATCAAATTGCTGATATTCTCAGTAAACCCTTTTCTACGATAGGTTTTCAGCAACTACGACTCAAACTGATAGTTCATCAGCCACTGTTAGTTTACAAGGGGGTAATAACGGACTCTGCCATATCATGAGAAGTAAAGAAGCCACTACAACAATAGATTAAATCAACATCAATAATTCAAAATAGAATACATCATCTAAACCTTACACGTGTAAAGAGCACCCTTACTTTTTTTTTGTGTAACCAGTCCTCTCTATAAAGAGAGCAAACAATAAATACATATATAACAACCTAAAGATATCAACAAAGCGAACAACAGATAATACAATTCAACCTATATGGCCAACTTAAAAAAAGTGACATACTCTACTACTTGAAGCATTTCTATTTGAAATTCTCCATTAATGGAACTTCCACAGCCTTAGACTAAATTACAGCTTTGAAAAACGTTACCTCCCATATTTGCTGATCTGTATATCCCTCTAAGGGATCAAGGTTGTATCTGACTGACCCATGGAATAGGGTGGGATCCTGAGGAATGATTCCAAAACGCGATCTTAGATCATGAAGACCAATTTTGGCAATATCAATGCCATCAATTATAATCCTCCCTCCTGCAGGTTCAACCAGTCGAAACAAAGCACCAATCAATGTAGTCTTCCCACTTCCAGTCCTACCTACTATTCCAATCTTGTCCCCTCCTTCAAAAATGCAACTGATTCCCCGAATGACAAGAGGAGTGTCTGGCCTATATCTGATCTGCTTGTAGTGAATATTTGAATAATAGGTAAATAGGCAGAAACTAAGATATTTCATCAATTTAAATGAAGGCTTAGAAAGAATGTGGCAAGTACCTGAAGATCATGGAGCTCTACACGCCCAATAGCCGGCCAATTTGGAGCCGGCCGGTTGCTTTCAATGACTTCAGGAGCCTCACTTGCAACATGCATATATTGGTTTAGTCTCTCTACAGAGATGATGTAATTTGCAAGTGTGCACTGATTTTGTATTGAGAAAACAAGTGACATATTTAAAGATAGGCCATAAGATAGTGCCAACCCAACAAAGCCTGTTCCAAGGATACATACACCATATGTTTTTTACAAGCCCGTGAGAAACAATCATTGTGCATATTGCAGGAATGGAAAAAATTGTGCATTTGTAATTTAAACAAGCATAATTTTTGTCATCGAACTAACTGAAGAAAATGTAGCATACAGTGTAGATTCTGAAGGTAGCACTCATAATTTCATAAAACACCAAACACAATTCCAAGATTTCCAAGAAGACAAATTGCTTTTATTTCTTGCCAAGTTGTTGCTGAATTTATTAAAATGAAAATTTTGTTAGTAATAATATGTTTCTAGTATCCCTACTTTGTTACTTAAAAACTAATGGAAGCTCCTGGAATGGGAAAATTATTAGGTGCGGAGACCGGACGTAGAGGTCCGTCCAAACTCCAATAAAATATTGACATGTGGAGTGGACACGTTGGAATTATTTTTTACTTTATATATTTAATGTGTTCGCGGAACTTTAAGTCAAACGAGTCAAAAGCGCAGTCAAAGCGCAGGTAAACTGCACGTAAAGTGTATGTAAAGCACAATCAAAGCGCAGTAAACAAATGCAACAAAAGAGCAGTCAAAGCGCAACTAAAGTGCATGTAAAGCACAATCAAAGCGCAGTAAAAAAGGACAGTCAAAGTGCAACTAAAATACAGGTAAAGTGCACAAAAAAGAGCAACCAAGGTGCACTCCATATGTCAAATTTGAAGTAGCTGTCCGGACGTATCTCTACGTCCGATCTCCGCACCTAATAATTTTCCCTTGGAATGTTTGCTTTCTTCAGTATATAAAATGCTGCTCAAAATTAATGTGATAGTTTGTACATGTAGAATCTAGTAGCACATAAGATTATCCAGTGTAGCAACCCAAATACAGTCTAACAGCATAATGATCAAGGGCGGAAACGAAGGAGAAAGTGACAATAGATAGCTAACCAGGGCTGAACGTTCCTGGAGGAAGCATAGCCATGACAAGAGCTGATGAAGAAAGAATAACAGCACTCATGGTCTCCAAACGCTGGATCAACCATTCACTAGCAGCGAAGTTATGAAAATATGGACTGGCATTTTTGTCAATAAGAACCAAGCTTTTAGCAAAGAATCTATCTTCCTCTTCAAAGGCTCTAATTGTAACCACTCCTGAAACCGATTCAGCGAGATGATTTGCTACCAAAGATTTGGTGGTGCCATTAATTCGCATCAACTCTTTTGCCGAAGCTAGATAGTACCTCTATTTAAAACAAAAGGCAAACAAATAGGATCAATGCAGCCACACAATCCATTAACCTAACAAGCTATTCTATGTAGAACATACCTGCAAAAGGATGGTTAGGTAGATCAAAGGCACAGCAACAAACAAAACTTGCCAGACAACACCAGAAAGCACCCCAATGTTGCTATATGCATTGACTGTTGCACTGAAGCTAAAAATCAAAGCAAATGGCACATCTAGATCAACAATACTCAGATCAGATGAGACCTGGATGAGAACGACGTTAAAGTTTCAACTAAGAATCAACAGTTTAAAGGAGAGTATCTCTATTTTCTTGAAATTTAGGGGGTGTTTGGTATAGGATTGGATTCAATTTTATTAGGATTTACTAAATCCTGTAAATCCGGATTTAGTAAATCCTAGGCTCATAAATCCTGAAAAGTGTTTGGCATGACAAATTTTAAATCCTGTTAAATACAGAGAAGTTGTTTGGCAACACATCCCGACACGGGCGCCACAGGAAGAAGTTCCGCAACTATAAGTTGCGTTAAATCCGAGTAGGAATGGGATTAGGATTTAGACATATTTATGCCGTAAATCCTGGATTTACGGATTTACAGCATCATGGATTGCGTTTGCACGGATTGCGTTTGGCTGGAGTTACGCTAAATCCTACTAAAAACGACGAATAAATCCGATACCAAACACCCCCTTAGGGTTACACAATCTTACCCGACTAAGAATCCTTCCTAGAGGTGTCGAATCAAAGAATGACATTGGTGCACGAAACAGAGAGATTAAGAGCTGAGAAAAAAGAGATCTTGATGACTCCATTCCCAGAGCAACAACAAATATGGATCTGGATAACAGAAAGAACACTGTGCCAAATCCTATGGCCAAGTACACTGAGATCAATTTCAACATGCTCACTTCAGGGTTTTGAACTTTAGCAGCCATCCATGAGTTTTGGGAAATCTGACCAGCCATGAATATGGCATGAGAAAGCGCTGATAGTGAGGCAAGCAAAAAGCCCTTGTTCTGGGACAAGTATTGCAAGTAAGGCTTCATCCCAGTGTTTCCTGATTCTCTTTCTTCTTTCTGGATCAACTGATCCAATCCAATTGTGCTTTCTGGTTTTGGCTGCTTTACCCCATCATCATTATTATTGATCTCTATGGTAGCTGTTTTGTTTCTTTTATCAGAATCTAGTTGATAAAGCGTTTCAGCACCAACAGTATTTCTGTGGGCATTGACAAGTTCCTGAAATTCTTTGCTCGAAGCCAGTAATTCATGAAAAGAAGCAGCAGAAATAAATTCTCCATCCGACATCAGCTGCAAAGATATACGAGCATTGTTAATCCAAAAGGAACAAAGCATAATTTAAAATGCCAATTATTGTTGACAAAGCAGTGCTATGAGCATCAACAGACCATCAGCAGTGATCCTAAGTTAATAATTAAGACATTGATTATTTCCTCTGCAAGATAAAAGAGGTATATGGCTTCAGAAAATTGATAAAGTTCATAGTATTACAACAAAAAAATTGGAATAAATAATGATTATACAGCAAAAATATAAGAACAAACAAATGTACAATAAAGCAACCATGGTAAATGTTAGTTCTATGTGGAATTTGATTGCATCGATCAATTGGGTTGTACCGTTGACTTATACCTCAATTTTGATGATCGAGCTCTCCGAGGGTTGATTTGGGGATCTTGCTCCTGATTTTTTTTAATGTGTGTTTGTGCAGTCTAATGCGTCTTGGAAGTAAAAACAATAAAGTTGAGAGGAAAAATATTATAGGAATCTAACATTAGGACTGATTTTTTGATTATCTCTTCAATAATAATGAAAGACACAAGTGATATACTATTCGAAAATTAGATTAGCTCTCCTACAAACTCTAGATACCACTAAGAAACTCATAATAATAGACCAAACACCTCCTAAAATAGTCCCAACATACAATGCACACAATTAAAATATCCCTAAACAACATAAACACAATTAGGAAAATTTCCTAAGCAATAAAACCCTTCCTAAATATCATAAACACAATTAGGAAACCTTCCTAATCAATTAAACCCTTCCTAAACAGCATAAATACAATTAGAAAACCTTCCTAAACCCTTGATTAGGAACCTTCCTAAACAATTCTCTCTTAATTATGAACTTTTCTAAATAGTTCCCTCTTGATTAGGAACATTCCTAAACAGCTTTCCCTTCTTGACTATGTACTTTCTTGGCATATCATAATTATACAATGTGGCACCCTAGAATCTAATTTAAAAGAATTTTTATTTTATCTTTTAAAATATGACAACCAGAGCTGTACAATTTTTTTTATCAATATAAATACGAGTGAAAACAAAACTATAAATTAAAACATCAATATATACATTTGTATTTATTTTTCAAAAAATTACATACACTACTCAGGATCTATAATCATATTATAAAAACTATGTCCTGAGTATAAAATAATAACTAAAATAATAAGAACTTGAATTAATTTCTCACTCATGTTCCCTTGTAAATCATTTAATCGCATAAAATGAGCTTAAAAGCCTAGCAAATAATCAAATCCTACAACCGAACTCAAAACATGGCAAATAAGTAATATGCATGTCAACAGTCAAATTATAACAGTAACATTAATATTATCATGAATTAATACAATTATAGTAAAGTTTGTAACTAGTAAAATGATATGATATAGAAGCCAATAAAATAGTAAAATTAAGAAATCAATAAATCGATATAAGTATCGAATCATTAAAGAGGTATTAATATCAGTATTATCGATAAGTAGAAAAATCATATAAAGCAGTAAAACCAAAGCATCAGTAAAGGTTATTGAAATTATATCAATATAATAAAATCATATAGAAGTGTACACATATGATCCAAGTATTTTATATCAGTATCAAATTAATATATTACATGCTCAATGTGTCACATGCATAATATCAATACAGTGAATCCATAGAATTAAATAGTATCAGTGTCTATATCGGTAATAGTAATAACCCAGTTACATGAGCAGTAAAATAATACAGTAATAGTTAATCCGTGTAGTAATAATAATTTCATATGATAATAGGAATAGTACCTTAATAACATACACTTCAATAGTCACACTAAATAAATAAGAAATCCTAGCTTAATTAGTATTCTTCCAGTATGATATTAATATCAGTAAACCGCTGGTTCGGTAAATAGAGTACCACTCTTTGTCTGTCAGCACAATAATCATCTCCTTATAACTCTAAAATAGTATCACGTGAATCAGTAGAGGATAATACAAAATCACAATATTTAAAAGAAAGCCTGTTGGCTCACCATTCTATATAGGTCAATTAGTTTTTAACCAATGTCAGTGAATAACCAATCTTTACTTTATTTTTTCCACACGCACATTATTATCATAGAACTATAACAATAATAGCGAGCAACTATTACTAAATCATATATACCCACATTTTTTTTAATACATTGCAATTAATAAATCATAATTTGGCTCAATTCAGTAGAGTCAAAATATCTTAATGGTAGGCAATAAAAAATCCTATTGAGTGAAATTCACTATTTTAAAAATTAATCAAATTATCAAAATTCGTATATAACAATATTCTGAAGCTTTAATTGAATTAAAATAATATTTTTAAATGTTAAAATAAAACTCTGAATGGATAAAAATTGCAGTTTTTAAAATCACTAAGTGCAAAAATCTCAAATAAATATTCCAAACATTCGTAATCTCAATCTCTATAAAATATAAAAATTTACGAGGAGAATGTTTTACCAATACAAAATTATCCTCGTTTTTCAATTATGAAAATAAAAATGTGATTAGAAAATCCTAAAAACATTAAATTATTAAAATAAAAAATAAGATAATGATTTCTTACAACAAGACAAATGAATTTCTCAACAGGGTCGACTGACGAAAATTGTTCTACGGTATCTAAATCTTAAGTATCTAAATCTTAAGTTCTCTTTTCTCTCTTCATTTTTTTCTTTATTCAGGCGAATGAATAGGAAATGAATGAACAAATGAAATATTAAGTGCTTTAAGCTATTTTATAATAAAATAATATAAATAAAATTATATAATTTATTCAATTTTCAACATAAAATTCATATAAATTATTTTGAGGCTTAAAAATTATAGAAAAATATCTATAAAGTAACCCAATTTATTTAAAAAATTTTTGTGAATTTGATTAGCAAAATGGACACCTGATGATCTCAAAATCTCCACTTGTACCGACATATGTCAATTTCTTAAGAATTTACACCAATGCCTAAAAATTATGAAAAAAAATAATAATTAAATCACTGTAATATATATGTTATGGTGAAGACAATTTGTGATTTGAACTTATAATAACTCATACAAAATTTTATTTAACTGAGTTATTATATACAGAGACGTGGCACTGTACATTATAGCACTGCAGCGTTGTACGCTTGTGCACTGCAAAGTTATAGGATGTAGCTCGGTATTACTGTAGTCTTGACTTGGAGACAGAGAGCTGAGTGCTACGATGTTGCAAATGACGCCAAGTAGTTTTTTTTCTTCTTTTTCATGCTTAATTTGATGGGTTGCACCCCTTCATATTATAGAAGTGAATCTCTTTGTTTGTTCTGAGAAAAAAAAGGTATGGAGAGTGAAGTGAGACAAGGAGAGAGTTAGAGAGAAAGAGATCTACACAATTTCTCACATTTTTTCACAGCAAATTTCTTGGTATTGTCCGATTTCGGCTTTTTCCACATTAAATCCTAGCGTCCATTTCCGTTATTTTCGTTTCTTGTTTGTTTCATTGTGTGGTTTACCTTCCCAACCGTAAACACCATCAGAAAGAAACATTTGGCAGCCAATCTATAAAGATATGCCAAAAAACTCTAGCTCAAGCAATATTCTTCCTGGTTCTCAAGATACAGGTCATAGGCACAAATCCAACCTATGACTTCATTTAAACTAAATATTCAAATGCCTGCGCATTTGTTAGTGGCTCCTACTATACTTTCAATTAATAAAATATTTGGAAAATATTATTTTCTTTATATATATCCCATAAAATTGTGGCACATCATTTTATTTTGACTTGTTTTTTTTTTTTAATTTAAACACCATTCAATTGGCAAAAAAAGATCATTCATCTTAAACTTTAAGAAAATTATGAAATTATAATATGATATCGAATTCATAAAATTTAATATAAAATGATCCTGTAAAAACCATAGAAAAGAAACTCTCTAACACACGGTCAAGATAGCGTGTTAGAAGAGATTTTGAGTTCGAAGCTTGCCTATGTAATATGTGTACGAATTTGTCTTAATAGCTCAAATGTTTTTTTAAGCATGAATTCGGCAGTACTAATCAGTGATAAAAAATGAAGAACAAGGTGTTTGTATCAGCACTTACCAAAGTAGTGTTGAACACCGGAAGAAAATCCACCTGATGAGTTACTAACAAGACAGTCTTGGACGAAAGAGCACCCATGACATATTCCTGCACATAATCAACTCTATTTTTCAGAGAGATCTTATTAATTCATACAAATCAAGAATCATTTATCAGATAAAAGGTTTCATTTTGGACTGTTTTTTTACTGTTTCTTAAAGCAAATTTCGAGTACAAAAATTTTAACTTTTGTACTAAAAAGCTGTTTTAAGAAGCATTAAAAAAGCTATCCCAAACAAAGCCTAAATTTACATTGAAAAGGCTGGTGGCAGTATGAGCATCAACAGCACTGAAAGGATCATCCAGGAGATATATATCTGCATCCTGATACAGTGCTCGGGCAAGCTGAACACGCTGTTTCTGTCCACCACTGAGATTTACTCCCCTTTCACCAATTTCAGTTAAGTCTCCATAAGTTAACATCTCAATATCCTTTACTAAGGAACATCTTTTCAGAGTTTCCTGGTATTTTTGTTCATCCATTATGGAGCCAAATAGAATATTTTCCCTCAGCGTACCAGTCTGAATCCAAGCATTCTGGGAAACATATGCAATTCTTCCAGAAACATGAACCTGCAATAAATTTCAAAATATTTCTCTATGAAGAACGCCTCTACTGCAATTTTCATTAAGTAAAACTAGTCACATGTGTAAGAAAAAGAAAACAGAAAAAATATCATCAAGAAGGTTCAAAAATACACATAAAATAGTAGAACAAGAAGTATCAAGATGAAAGCATGGGCTCAGGAAAGTGGAGTAGCATCCACAAAATCAAAACTTCCCCCTGGTTGCGAGAATTGCCATCATAATGAGAAAAAGGTTGCATAGAACCGCGGCCAGGGGGAGAGAGGGAAACTACCCCATCATCATCACCCCTAACAAACATTGAACCATCCAAAAACCTAGGCAATGAAACATCTCTATCAAAAACAGTCAACATCCCAGCAAAACGAAATCCAGCCTCTGAATGACAAAAAGCCCAAACAGCCAGAGCAGCCATAGGCGGATGGATCCCCCTTTACCTCAGGGTAAACAAATGCCCACCCTAAAAAAAAAAAAATTAAATATTTAGAGAGGATATTTTGAAAAATTTTGGATATTTTGCACCCCATCAAAAAAAAATGTGACGGACTCACCCGTTACCCGCGAGGAGGACGTCTGGTTCCGCCGATCACCGAGCGAAGGACCTGCAAGAAAATGAAGGAAGAACAGGCAATAGAACAGTAATTTTGGGTAGAAGTATATTTCTTGTATTTTCTGTAGTGAGCTGAAAAAATACTTATATAGCAGCCACTACTTCTGCCAATAACGAACTTAGGGAAAAGAAGGGAAATAAAGCAGTAACTAGGTAGTGGGTGTGTGTGTAACATTATTGTGTGCCAAGAGTAAAACAGCCAGTGTGGCTGAGAGCCTGTAGCGCTTTATGGTCCCCATCAAAATGTTTGCCCTAATTTTATCAATCATAAGCGTCTTTATCCATCCCTACATTTATTTTAGCCCACCATAAAAAAAGAAGCTGGATTCGCCCCTAAGCAACACACAATGCAAAGGCAAAGAAATTCGAAGATAGGCCAAAGAAAAATAGCACAGAAGAAACCTCAAAAAACATATCACCAAAAGCATCAAAGCAGAGGTAAATTTTTTTCCTTATTTCTTCCATCTGCAGATTTTAGAGAAAACTGATTTATCTAAAACTAGTGCAATTTTCCAATAAGAAAACTCCAGATATTAGAAGTACAGCAGGTTTGGTTTGACAAAACTAGAAAACAAATGGGGGTTTCTTTTACCAGCTACAATACATACAAGTAGAAGTTGATAAAAAGCAATAGAAGAATTAAAGCTAGTTACCATGCCCTCTGTTTTAGGAATTTCTCCAAGAACTGCTGCCAAAAGAGTTGATTTTCCTGATCCAACCTCACCACAAATTGCCACCTTCTGACCAGTGGAGATCTCAAGGTTTATATTCCTTAATGTAGGTTTCAAAAAATGTTCATCCCATGAAAAGCTAGCTGAACTGATCTCTATCGGTTTCCTGATATTCATGGAGTGCTTCCTGGTTTTGATCTCAGGCGCATCGAGGAATCTAACTATTCGAGCAAATGCAACCTTGGCTTGTATAACTACCCCAATAACATCAGGAATTTGTCTAACTGGGTCTTGAACAAGGCGTAATGTGGCCACAAAAGTAAATACATTGCTTGCATTAAGAGGAATTTTAAGGAAATAGCAAGTTGAGAAAGTAGCAGCAGATACAAGTACAGGAGAAGACCAAAATAAGAAGCTATTATAAGCTCTTCGAAGCTGAAAAGCTTTAAGCCACTTGCACTCTACTTGTCTCAGGCCTTCTATAACCTTCCTGAAATGTGTTTCCCATGCATATAGCTTCAGCACTTTCATGTTCACCAACGCTTCTGACAAAGCTTTCAGCCTCTCATCCTGAGCACCCATAAGCCTTGTCTGAAACTTGTGCTGCAGCTTCGCCAGTGGAGCATTGCATAGAACTGTTACTATTATGACAACCATGGCTGCTATCGTTGCAAGTCCCACAGCACTATACAGAATTAACAAAGCAATACAGAGTTGGAAGCTCGTGGACCAAGTTTGATGGAACCAGAATGGAAATTCCCCTATTCTGTAAGCATCAACGGTAACATAGTTCGTTATCTCTCCAGAAGAATGGGCCAGTTTGGCTGAGTTTGACAGCCTGAGCTGCTTCTGATATATGGCTGCTGATAACAAAGACCGCACTTGCAGTCCTAACCTTCTAGTTCGGAAGAACCATTGCCTCTGTGATAACGATTCTAGAACTTTTGCCAGAAACAAAGCGATGGCCAATACAAAACCTTCATATTTAGAAGTTCCTTTTCCTACTGATACATTAATGAAAGATTTAAGTAGCAGAGGACCGGCAGAGAGTGTTAGAACCTTAAGCAGTGCAAAGAACCCTGATGCTAAAATTTGATCTAAGTGGCAAGATACTATCACCCTTAAAACAGAAGGAGAAGCAGTGCGTTGCTTCTGCTTTAGCTTATTCAACCGCTCCAAAAACAAAAAGTAGCGGCTCTCCGCTTGGTCTTCTTTGCCCAACAAAGGAATGTCTTTCTCTTCCAGTGGCTTTTCATAGCCTTTCTTCATCAAAGGATTCAACCACCAGAATGATAATTTACTAAATAACCCAGCACTTGCAAAAGGAGTAACTGAAGCAAGATCAACGAAGTTGCAATCAGATTCAGCCTTCAAAGGCTCATAGAAATAGATGTTACTGCTTTCAGAATCTATTGAAGTTTTTGTCGTCTTCATGACCAATACAAGCATGAAAATTGATACTGGCAAAGAAATGATATCTAGGTAGAGCTTGATGGACGGCCTCTTCACTGCAACTAAATCTAGAATGGAAGATGCACAGAGAAATCCATCAAACAAGGTCAAAGCTGCAGACCATACTTTTGCAAAGATCCCTCCAAGCAATTCTACTCTCATGGTCACAATCAAGCAAGCAATCACCCAAGTTAAGCCTGTATAAAGAACTATCAGCCATGAATGAAGAGGATAAAAGCCAGTCCCTTTTGTTAATTTCTCTTCCAAAATCCATACAAAAACGCCTGAATACACCAATCCCAAACTGCCATTGAGAGCTGCGCAGGTTGTTTTCAACGGTGAAGAGAAACTAAAGAGATATTGCAGTCTAAAGTTTCTTGACAAAGCTGCCTTGATAAAGAAGTTGATCAAGAATGCAAAAACCAGAAGCAAACTGATCAAGCTAACAAGTAAATGATTCGAGCAAGTATCCGAACAGAGTATTCCCACAGGACCGCAAGCATCGCCACCTTGTTTCATGCAAGCAGATTCTCCATTGAAGATAAGCCCAGCACCTAATAGAATTCAAAAGCTGCCCTCAATCATAGAAAAACAACAAAATAAGCTATACAATTTCGTCAGAAAAAAATCATTAATGTGATCATTAAAACACTGAATTTTTTAAGTACTGAACACAGTGAATTCGTCCTTACGTGCAAAAAAATCCATCTTTCCTGCTCCAGCGAGATTATTCCTCCCACAAAACAATCAAAATAACCATTCCACTGTAAACCAAATTCCATTCAGTTAAAAAAAAAATTTATTTCTTTCAAACCAAAAAGTTCAAACATTTCGATTCTTCAGTACCTTTACATCAAGATCGATAAAAAGATCATTGCTGCACACTGAAATATCAAACGACAAAATAATCCGATAAATCCTTCTCCAACCTGCAATCCACCAACAAAGAATTGAAAAAGAAAAGAAAGTATCAAACAAGATTTGTCAAATCATAAAATCCTGAAAAGCATTGCTTGCATCAAACAGAGTAGAAAAGACAGTAGCTTTCCAACACATAAAGAAACATTGCTATTCAAATTAAAGGCTTGTGAATCATCACACTCTGCAATAAAACTCGCCATGGCAGAGGTGAAAGAAATCTTGGAATCAAGTAAGGCCAAGCTTAAATAGTACCAAAAGTCAAAGAAGATTTGTTTTATACGCAGCGAGATTATTAGATTATAAAAGAACACAAAGCCGACAGAAAAAACCTCTGGGTTAGAAGAGAAGCTCATATAGGAGAAACGGCTGATCTCTCTCTCTCTATATGTATTGTAGAAGGTAAGATGAAACGTCAGCGCTCACGTGGCGCATTTGGCAGACTCCGTGGCCAAAACTGGTACGACTCTCCTGCATTTTAAATGCTTTTTGCTGCTGCATGCAGCAATTTAGTATAAATATTTAAATAATTTTTTTAAAATAAATAGTATAATTTGGGTATTAGGTATGTCTCAATAAATTTAGGCATTATAAAAATTTTATTTTAATAAATTTATTGATGATTTGCAGATGTAAACTTGTTTATTTCAAACTCTAAATTAAGCATTTATAAATGTAATTTAAAAACTTTTAAGTCTATTTGAGAAGCAAAATGACTTATGTTTTATTTGGGATAATTTTTTTACTATTTTTTAGAATAACTTTTTAGTACAAAATTTTGTAAGCTAAAAAATTTTATATTAAAAAACTACTTTAGAAAGCAATAAGAAAACTATATCAAACGAAGCATTAATTTTATATGCATATCATCAAAAAAGGAAATAAGTTTTAATAAGAATAAATTTAATAAATATGAATTCATAAAGACATTGAAATGATTTAAATATATAACATCATCAAAAGTGATATGTCAAGAGTTTCTCATGAAATGAGATTAAGTGTTTAATCCTATTGTTTGATTCTATATTGAATAGCCTCACACCTTTTGTTCTTATTTGGTGAGACCCTCCCGACTTGTCAGATATGTTGCAATCTTTGATGAGAAAATCTCAACAGCCCATTTCTTATTAGGGTGCAAATGAGTCAAGCTGAATTGTAAGTATGTGGCGAGAGGAAGAGGATCATAGTGAGGCAAAATGTGGCAAGAAGATGGTAGTATGCGACGGTGCTTGATAGGTTTTAGTCATGAGATAATGTTCGATAAGATTATAGTTAGGTGGCAAAAGTCAGGGATCTCACTAGGGCAATGAGCTCAGAGGATCATGGTTTGGCATGAACGATCAGAAAGTTTGTAGTCTAACGACAGAGGGAGGAGGCCATATATATATTTGTGTGTGTGTGAAATAAGAAACAATGCTTAATTTTATTTGAAAAATTAATATTATATTTTCTTGATCATTATTACATATCTAATATCAATTTCATTTTAAGAAAATTAAAAGTATTCTAAAACTACTATAATTGTTAATTTTTTTAATATGATCAATTGAAAATAAATTAAAACTATCATTTTTTTTTCAATTTGGGAAACTAAATTAAAGGCAATGACTTGATCATCCATTAAACTTTTTTTTCTTTAATGTATAAATACAATCAAAATTGTTGGCTAGAAAATAATATTCAGCATTTAAGGACAATACTTGTTTTAAACAAAAACTAATTTAAATTATATTCTTAATTGGAACTTGATAGAATATTTTTAAATAATATTAATAATAATTAGAGGTCTAATCATTGGAACCAATAAACTTATTAAATGGATTAGTTTTTAGCTTACTGAAATCTCCAAATTACTTTTTTAATAAAAGATATCTTCACACAATCATTTTATTTATTTATTTGTAAACATGCTTTTATCATTTTTGTTTATAAAAATGAGTAATCTTTATTTTTTAGGGAGGGGGGCTTTGCTTCTATATTATGGTGGCCACTACAATTACAAAAGATAGTACTATATTACAACTTTTACAAGCTTTCCAATGATCATAAACTATATTTCAATTATAATATATATCCCACTAATGAATTGTTTATCTTCATCTAATATTGTAATTTAATGGTTTTTGGACAAAAGCCTAATTACATTTTATAATAACCCTTAAGATGTGTGTTATGAACCTTTTATAAAGCATTAATTAATATTCTTCTTTTTATGTATATAATTTTAATGTTTAAATCACATCAAAATATACATGTACAAAGAGATGTGATTTATTTTAAATAGATTAATATTGATAATATTTTGATATGAATTAATTATTTGAGTTTATATAAAAAATAAAAATTTTAATATTAGATATGTAAATATATAAAAAATATATAAACCCTCATTTTCTTTTGCAACTCTATGTAACATATCTCTTCTATCAATTCATTAGGCCGGCCATAGCCAAATGATCATCACAATACTAAGGTGAGTTTCACAATAACTTACCCCATTCTCTATTATACTGAAATTTCATTTAATATAATTATATTGATGTGATATTTTTATTGTATATGTAAAATAAAATTTAAAATTTCTCATATAAAAATATTTCTTATTTCATAAATCATTTCACATGCTAATAAAATTTCTATCATAACTATTTACTTTGAAGTTCATATGCATAACAAAAATTATGATGTAGAATATCAAATCAAGATAACATAGAAATAACCATGAAGAATATCATTATACCAAAATTTATAGCCTATCTTAGTTTAAGATTACATCAACTTTTCTCCTTATTTCAAAAATAGTAAATCATATTTTCTTTTCATTTTCTCTATTATATTAATTATCGCTTTCGAAATAAGGATTAGAGAAGAAAGTAAAGGTGATAATATTAGTCAAGATTTGAAGTCAGATCAAAATCAACCATGGAGTCATTTTAAGTGATTATAAGCAAGATTCTTAAGTAGGTTTACCCCGAAAACTCTATATTTAAAGGGTCGAGAGACATATTTTTTATCTTTTAGACTTTATATTATTTGTTGTGAGACTGATATAGACTAGGAAAATTGTAAAAATTAAAAAAAAAACAAATCTTATAAAAAAATATATTTTAATTTTATTTGTATGAATTAATAATTGAAGCTTGAGATGCATAAAATTAGTGTAAGTAAATCATTATAATATCCATCTTATAATGAAGACTGATTTTAAATTTGACTTTTAATTACTCCAAAAAAAAGTATTTGACTTGGCCAAAATACAGGTTATTACACATATCATGTTCTCCCGGCTATGGTAGTCCTACTATCATTGTCCGACTATAGTCCTCCAACAACCGTCATCCAATTTTAGTTCTCGTACTATCATTATCTCATTATAGTCCTCCGACCAACATCAGTACCCTACTATGATCCTTTGAACACTATCACTTAACTATGATCATTGGACAACTATCTCCCAATTACAATCATGTGTCTACCATCACCTAATTATAGTCCTCCAACCATTATATCCCTCGATTATGGTTTTTCAATTACCGTTGCTCGATTACTATACACATACCATTATCACTTGGCTACACCGATGCCCACTGACTTTGTCTCCCACCATTATGAAAAATGTCAATAGATGTTATCACTCATAGGATTTTGATGCATGACATTAACACCAATTCTAACTCATGTCAGTACCAAGATTTTTATTGGATTTGATATTTTTTTTGTCGTCTTTGGTCTCTACTCATCAAAGGAGTACAATCAAACAAATAGGAAACAATCTCTAAAAAAAATCTCCCATGTCACTTGGCTCCTCTAACTTCCACCTCAAAATACACTCTATATGTTATTTGTTCGCTATATTTTATCAATACATTACCAAATCATGAGAATCACCATCATTTATAACTAATGACAAATACTAGTAAAATCATTTCAACTGACAAGACTTCATACCTCTTCCTTCTATTCAAAATTTTCATATACAAAATTTAATGACACTTGCAACTCATCTTTTATTTATGAGTATATGCTCGATCTTTATACAAAATTATAACGTTAAACTCTCACTACTATCACAAATATTCTAACAAGCAACAAGAGTTTAACTTTTTGATAATAAAACAAATGATCTATCCAACCAACAACACTTCATATAATTCATATGATTGCTAAGTGCTAACCTATTTCATGTATAATATTTATATATTAATATATTTACTTAAGTACCAAATTTTTTAATGTTTTTTATTTGGGAAAATGCCATGTAGGAATCCACTTGCGTTGTAGCTTTTTATAACCCCACATTTTTCACGTGCATGGGTTGCTTAGTGGAGGTGCTCATTCAATGCATGCACAAATAAAGTTGGTATTTCATTTTTAATAGGGTTGGCATAGACACTAAGTTCTTTTCTTACTTTTAATTTGTCTACCTTGTAAAGTTTGTGAAAGGATGTATGAAATAGAATATTTATATTGCTTTTTGTTAAGATATGCTATACTTGCTTTATTGATTGGAGTTAATATCTTTGAATTATTGTTGATAATATCAAAAGTATGTGAGAAATTTGTGATCACTTCACTTTAACAATTATCATATATCTCCGTCTCTTTTAGGTTTAGGCGTTTAGTGTTTAATGTAGACTTCAAAATCCTATAAATAATAGGTGAAAAGATCTACATACTTTGAATCTTCGAGGTCTTTTAGATATTTCTAGGTATTTATGATAATTTTTCATCATAGTTTTCAAATCTTTTTCTTAATTTTCTATCATTCTCTCATATAGGACCCACAACATATATACTCTATGTACTTACCTAAAACTAAGGGTATAAATGAGTCGAGTTGAGCTCGAGTCATGCCTAACTTGAGGTCGACTTATCAGCCAAATCACGAGCTTGAACTCGAGTCGAGCTCAAAAGGAGAGCTCGAGTTCGGATCGTGGCAATATAAACAGGCTCATGAGTCTCTCATTAGATCATGCAAAAGCATCACGTCGTGATTTTGCCTAAGAGGTAAAACTCATGCCACCGAGATGAAGATGTCGTGTCCTCGCGTCATATTTGGCTGAGAAGAAGAAGAAGAACAAGCTCGCTATTTGGATGTTGGGTGAGAAGGAGAGATCATGACAAGAGCAACCATTTTTTAAATTTATTTTTAGAATTGGACCATTATTTATATTAGTTTATTTTTTATTTTTTTTTTAGAATGAGTACAAGCTCATTAATGCTTTTCTTGGAGACATAAAGATCTTTTGACTCCCAAGCTTAAACTCGAGCTCGTTTAAGCTCAAGCTCGTGGGTTGATAAACTTGTCTAGCGGCTTGTTATCGAG